TATATAATATAATCATCATTCATCAAATAATATTTTTACCTGGTCTCCAAAAATACTGGCATTCAATACAAACAAAATGTCCTAAACAGAAATTATGCGGCCTCAAATGAAATTGGCTACATATTCAATAAGTCCATGATCAATGGTCAAGAAAGCACCTGAAATTTAAATCAAGTTCTTGAAAGCACTTAAATCCGGCCTAACTCCGTTTACATTAGTTGAATATGAGGAATCGCCGCTAACTTATTTTAAATGCCACCTTCATGAAGAACATGGATGCCACCCACGACAGTCACTCACACTGTAGCCTCTGGAACCAAGGAACTTATTCAGGAACAGTCATCTTGTGGACAGGAACCAAGGAACTTATTCACCGGACTGCATGCATCCTTCGCAAGGGGCTGGAAACTGCACACCCAAGTGCCAGGAAAGCAGGAACTAGAAGGGCTGAGCCAGAGCGACGCGAGATACTTATACCAGATGTAGGCATGATGTCATCTCACGGCAACCAATCAGCTATCGGCACGAATCGGCTTTCCAGATGACGTAAAATCACGTTTCGTTTTGCATCTTAATTAGGTTGAAACAGTCCATTCTCAACGCAAACAGTGGGAGTAAGGAAAAAGAAGTAGAAGTAACTACTGTATTACGTTAAAATAAGAACTAAGCCTAATAAACATTTCGAGGAGGAAAGATGATGTAGTAAAAGGGTTACAACAAGTCATATTTTTCCAACATTATGGATGCTTTACGCATGCGCACGTTGAAAGAAATGTTTAATAAAGTGAACAAATAAATATTAAGCTTTTTTTTTTTTTGGTAAAATTTGATACCGTTTAGATCATAATTGCGCTTTATTTCATAAATTATGGTTTCATATTTTTAATTGTATAATTTCTGCATGCCATGTTACCAGATTTAAATTGATGATCTATAATACGGAAAAACTCCTAATTTGGAATCGTCAAAGTCCCGACAAGTCCGCATTACAGGTTGTACTGTATAGGTTAATGTAATCAATTAATCAAATGCTTTTATTGCAATCAAGTATTCAAGTATATAACTAATATTCAAGTGTATAAACAGTATTCATATAACATAATCATGCATCTATTGTATCAACACATGTGAGTACTCAAATAATGCAAGTTGCCAAGTAAATGAATGTCAGTAAGTTTAATATATTCAAGTGTTGTAATTTAATCAAGCTCTCAGGTATATAACTAATATATCCATGTAACTTAATCATGTATTTAGTGTATTAGTGCATTTATCTGACAGATCATATTTAATGTACTATTGAAATATTTGATACATTTAAGAATTATGGCAACATGCACTGAGAGCATCACCAATTATTCTAACAACTAATGCCTATGTATTCATCTAGCTAATGCATTCATGTAATATCATCCAGGCTCCTGTTTGTTCAAGACTTCATAGAGAAACAAATTCCCGGGCATGGGATATATACCTGTTTACCTTTGTTAGACATCAGGTGTCCTCATGTCTGTCACCTATAGCTAACCTTATTCAAGTGTTACAGAATGAAGGATTGGACATTAGTCAGATTAGTGTTTCAGATGATTCTAAGAAATTAGAAAGTAAGACTTCTGGTGATTTTTCTTCTAGGCAAAGGAAAAAAAAAAAAAAAGTTGAAGAACCCTGGTGTATAACTACCATGAGTATTACAGACTCGAGTGCTTGTCCTTCACAGACGAATGCTGAAAAAAGGGTTGGATCACTTCTTCAAAATCCGCAAAGCTTACTCCTGCGCTGCCTAATTAATCCGAGTCCATGAGAGAATCAGCAAAGACGATATCCTCCCCAGCAAGGTTTTGGATTCTGTTCTCATCTCGGAAGAAAACATGGACAGTCTGGATGATTCTTCACCAGGGTAGGATAACAGCATGGAAGTTTCAAGTGACTCTATTGCTGATTGTAAAAAAGAAAAGACTAGCCCTTACTATTTCTCCAAGGAGGAATAAACTGGAGGTTACTTGAAGGAAATTAGAACTTCTAATTCAAAACAAGGATCAACACACAGTCCTAAAATGCATATTTTGCACTCAAAATAAGTTGTTTGCTTGTCCTTGGTTTTAGCGCCCACAACGCATCTTTTCCTACCTTTATTACCTTTTCTGTCAACCTAAATTTTCGGAAAATATCTTCCACTTAGATGGGAAGGTGGAGTGTATGGTGATTTTGGACAAATTTGTAAGTTTTTAAGTAAGGTCTCTTAGCCATGGCTAACAGAATGAAACTGAATATAACCCCAGCACATGTCCCAAAACTTCTTCAAAAGGCATCCAGAAATATTTCATCCTGAAACCCTGTGTAACATCAGGTTTATATTAGAAAACTTCCTGTTTTTATAAATCGAAAAACAGTGTCCGTCACGATGACCGGAAAGTGATAAAGGAAAGACCCCCCATTGGCGGGATATCCGTTACTGATCACGTCAATATATACATTATATGTAAAGTAAATACATAGTGCCTGAGTCATTATATATGATGATCATTCAAGTTATTATATATAATGACTATTAAATCGAGTAAGAAAAACAAAAACGCTGGCTCTTTCCTGAGAAATGCGAACGAATAAGACGCATTGCGCGTCGAGAAAGCTGATGGTATTTCCCCTTCCATAATAATGTTACTTTTTAATTAACCAGGAAAGCTTAAATTTCAAAATAAATGGAAAAAAGGACAACTGGTCTTGAGTTTTTCCATCACGGGTGTTCGGCAACGTTACACCTGCTACAGTCAGCTGAATGCACTTTCCTAACATAAAAAGCAAATAACATAAATGAAAACGATCTGGATGCACTTACCCACATTCTAATAACGAAAAAAGCGAAAAAAAAAAAAAGAAATTTTTAACGAAATAAACAAAAATGCCTGTGTCCTTTTAATTCACATGCGCACTAATAAAGAGCCTTGATGCCCAGTTTGTTTATACCAATAAATCTATCAAGACCAGAAGCACAAAACAGAAACTAATGCTAGTACATGAAGGTCAAATGCTGTAAGAATCAACCCATGTGAAAACAAGTATCATTTAGCTCCATCTACTGGCTTTTAAAAATTCAAATGTATCGTTCCATTTTAAAGTTACGTATACATGACTCTGCGCTGGTAGGAGTAAAATTGTTGCGTCGCGTATATGGGACGCTGGTCTTGAATGGGTTGAATCGTGACTGTGCACTAACTATCTTCATGAAGATTGAAATTCAGTTCAGTACCTCCAGATCAAAAGAAGAAACACTGTTTACAGTTGTCATCAAAGGCTTAACTGAAGATATTTGCACTAGCAAAATTAAAACTGAACTATACGAAGCTGAATATCTTGTTATTAAGGTTACCCAATTCATTAGAAAATTAAATAGAGATGAAACTTCCAGTATCCTTGCTTCATTGAAGAGAGATGATATTAGAAGTATTTACAAGAAGCGTATGATCCTTAATCTTAGGGTCTCAATCAGAAAATATCATAGCAACCGAAATTTCGTGATATGTTTTAGATGCCAATGGATCAGACTTTTTTGTAGTAATATACCATGATATCTGATCTGCAGTAAAGGCCATCTGACATACACTTGCACTCTTTCTAAAGATGAAAAGCCCACCTGCATCCAATGTGGAAAAAAATCATGTGGCTTCATTCAAAGAATGTCAATTTTATCCTAAAATTAACAAGTGAAACACAAGAAAAGAAGGTTCCTGAGCCGCCTAAAAAACCATATAAAACTATTTCTAAACAGAAGGAAAATCTCCCTGTCACGAACTCTGTTACACATGCGCCGAATGTTTCACCTGAACCATTTTGGGTATATGAATCAAATGTTGGGAGTTGAAACAGACAAAGTTAAAAATATCAGCAGATTATTGAAATTTGTAGAATAATTCAAGGAAAAAGAAGTTGGATGATGGAAAGATGGAAAATTAATTTTCCTTTACTCACAGTATGGTGACTGATTAAGTGCTGGGCTCAATAGATGGCAACACAAATCAGCAGTCTTCAGTGCAGTTTGTAAGATTACTTTGATTTCTCTCAGCTTTGTGAAGTTTTGCAGCCCCCTTTTACACTCCTTCCTCAGATTTCTCCCCTGCAAGACTGTCACATCCGGAACTATATGACGTCATATGCCCAAAGGCATAATTTCATCCAACCGGCATTATTGTGTTTTAGCGCAATAGCTCTGGTCGTACAATGGATTCTGTCTGTCTATCTAGCGCCATTAATTCCTGCTGTAGTTGACTAAGCAAATGGGTTATTTACAAAACCTCCTGTTTTTACTAAATGTTTAAGTATAGTTTTTGCATGTCAACCTAGATTTTTTTTTAAAGATTTTATATTTTTCTACATAATTTTTGTTATTGCTGTGACAGTTTCATAGTGAGAGACCAAAATACTTTGTTGATGTGTATAAAGTCTGATAATGCCAGATATGACGTGTGTAGGTGGTAATACAGTTGCTGCCTGCCAATATAGATTCAGCTAGAATTTGTGTTTGAATAATCATATGGGACTTCAAATTGTTTGAAGCAGCAGAACTCTGGCAGACAGCATTCTGTGCATTTATTCTGGATTGTTTGGCAGAGTTTCCTTAAAATCTGATAATATGCTGCAGTGTTTGTTTTTGCTTCTCATAACATGAAGTCCACTAGCAAAATGCTGTGTCTGTTCTAAAACATGGTTGTCATAATCTTGTATTTGTTTTATTGGATATGATAGTTTCCCTTCCTCATAGTGTCAAATAAAAAATAAAGCACTGACAATTTATTCAGTTTGGCTTCAGTAAGCATCCTTGGAACCTAATATTACACCTGAACTTCTGAAAAATGTACAGGTAAAGATTCAGAAAATATGAAGACTGTTTTCCTGTACTATCCTAAATTTCAACTATTATCTTCAGTTTTAACAGAATAATAATGTATATTATATTGAATTGTTAGCTATACACTTTTTACATTCATATTTTTTCTTTCTTCTAGAGAATGGAGTTTGGAGGAGGAGGTCTTATATTATCTTCGTAGCAGCGAAATTTTCGATATGTGAATGTATAGCTATATCTCTCTCTATATATATAACAGATTATTTATTAGTTATAAAAATGAACTGGAATCTATATATTGTGGTTGTAATAAAAAATGTTTTATCATTTTTGTTGTATATAAAAGTGACTGAATGAGAGAGAATTGAATAAATAATGTTTGAATACTGAGTAGAGATTTGTGGTGAAAATAATTTTAAATTTATATTACTCACATTTTTAAGAACATTAAAAAATATGAAGATTGTAAGAGAATAACAGCATCTCTTTTAATAGAGATATGGTAAGTATTAATCTGCACATTGTACTTGTATTTGAGAAAATAATTGAGGCTTTTTATTGTATCCAGAAGGTCAAAATATATATATTCAGAGCATCACAATTAGCTTTATTGGAGAGATAAGGAACACTTACTATCAAAGTTCAAGCATAAAGGTTATCTGCATACAAGTTTGATATTTCATTTTTGGTCCAGATATATCTACTGTCGGTAACCTAAGGCATTGTAAATAGTTTGATAGAATTATTCAGCATGCATATCCTTTTTTGTAAGACTTATAATTATTCAGCTATATCTAAGGTAAGACACTTTCAAGTCTGCCAATGATCTTTCTTAATTTTCACATAAATGTTTGTTAAATCTCATTTTATGAAGTTATGATTCATCTGATCATATTTGCTGCATGCGAAAATAAAAAAAAGGTTGTCTTTTTAAACTGCCAATTTTCACATCAAATGGATCTATGGTACACATGTACTTGCATAATATAGTAAGTATAGAGTATTTCTATATACATATTGTTGCGTGTGTACGGGTTCGTTATGAAATGAATGCACAATTCCGATGCAAAATGAACAAAAAAATTATTATTATCACAACAAAAATGCTTAAATCTTCTCAAATTATCATGCAGTATTACAATACCCTCACAGTAGTTATCTTTTAACTACTCAAATGTCCAATAGAACGTAATTCAAACAGCTAAAGAACGCTAATCCGCGAATTCGCTATAATCAACAACGGCAGTTTTCTAAACAACAACAAACTAAGCAACTAACTACAAACTGAGATGTTTTCCTCCTTTTATAAGATTTTAAAATCACGCGCTAGAATTTTCCAGCACTTTCTCGAAATCAAAAAGAGATATTTATTTATTTAACGCACGCGCTCTTGTATTTTTAATTTTTCCGGCTTAGCTTTCTTTTAATATTCGTGACGCGCTGCACTGTGCGAGAAATAAAACCATTTAATTTATAATTGAACTGACATTAGCTTTTTAAATACCAAATTCGTAACAATATATAACCATTCACGAAAAGTTGTCTTTTCCAAATTTGAATTTCCAAATTCCAAGTCTTTTCTGGTAGATTCATTGAAAAATATTTTACATTCATTTTGGATCAAGATGTAGTTATTATAATAGCAGTGTATTACTTATCTGTAATTTGTTCATAAGAAAATCAAAATACATATATTCTTGAATTAATAAAAGTATTCAGTGTGACTTCTATAAATGTACTTGATACACCCCCCCAAAGGTCTCAATGAAGTTTCCTTCATATTTTAGCATAAGATTATTAGACCTATATTAAAAAAGATATTTTGGAAGATCATTGGAAATCTTAGCGTAACGAGGAAATGGATGTGCCATTTTTCTTATCAGTAATCTTTGATAAGGATTGGCTGTTATTTTTATTACTCAGCCAAAAAAAATATTCTAGTTAATAATTGGGAGTATTCTAATTAAAGAATCTTTACTATAGTAATATAATTCAGATTCAGGCAGTAGGATGAAGGCTAATAAAAAAAAATAAAATAAAATAAATAAAAAGATTCCTTCATAAGGAGTGTACAAATGAATTTCCTGTCTTCAAACCAATAACAGGAAAGTCAGCTAATTAACACAAACATTCTAGATACAAGTATTAATACTGTACAGAGATGATATGAAATAAAAGAGGCAGAAAGCACCAATAGCATTTTTAAAAACCTTCATTTCTGAGCAACATCATAATGACAATGTAAGGAAAGCTGAAAATACAGCTAGCCGGTGAAAGTTGATTTTTGTAACTCAGGATTGTTGCACATACGTGCAGAAAACGATGAGTCTCTTGAAAACTTAAGACGAGATTTCCACACAACAGTAACAAAAATACACTGTAATTTATAGGAAAATTTAATATTTTACATTTATATTAAATACACAACATTATTTAGATGCATTTAAAATATTTTTTATTTAATAGAGAAATATTTTAATATACATTTATAAAGAAATATTGGTAAGTGTTTATTTAAATAGCAAGAAAACATGCTGTTTAATGATAATTCTTAATGCTTTGTGCCTTCATGTGAAGAATTAGTGCATAACTTTGCGCCTTCATGTGAAGAATGAGTGCATAACTTTGCATCTTCATGTGAAGAATTAGTGCATAACTTTATGCCTTCATGTGAAGAATGAGTGCATAACTTTGCGTCTTCATGTGAAGAATGAGTGCATAACTTTGCACCTTCATGTGAAGAATTAGTGCATAACTGCGTCTTCATGTGAAGAATTAGTGCATAACAGCAGAACTAGCAAATTTCTGAAAAGTAAAAGATATAAAAATAGTAAATAAATTTGGAATACAGTCAAAAGTCATTAATTCGGACACCCATAATCCGGAATGATCTATAATCCGGACCTCAAAGCTACAAACTTTCTGCGCATGTGTCGCTTTGACGCATGCGCGTAAGACCTTTACGGCTGCTAATATGCGAGTGCGCATGCGCAAAATACGTTTACGAATGCACGTTTAATGTATAACGGACGGTATAAGCTAAGCTAAAATTATCTAATTCAGTTAATGTTGCAGATTGCATTGTTCCTGAATCTTCGAATTGGATTCGGCTTATTATTTTTTGCAGACTGTTAGAGCAATTTTATAAAAGTAAGCTTGAACTTTGGATTATGTCAAATAGAATTTCTGATATATATTTACTAATATGTAAAGGATCTACAAAGCGGAAGTATGTTTTGAAGCCTATTAAACAAAAAGTGGAATTGCTGCAAAAAATGGATAAAGGCATATCCTTTGTTTATCTAAACTTTGTTTATCTTTAATGTTGCAGCGCGCAATGAATTGGAAGTTGATCTGTCAGCACTATCCTTATCTTCAGGGCAGATGTTTTTATTTTATTTGACTTTGATTCCTTACTAAATGTAGTGTTTCATCTCTATGTACTCCGGCTTTGATATGATTTAAATCAAATTCCTCATCATTATAATTCGCTTCCGATAGCGAAGAAAGTGACAGAGGTTATTGAAAACGAAAAAATTTCGATTGACAAATTGTCGGTATTCTCGACCAGCAATTATAGGACTTCAACAGCGGAACTTTGTAATTCACAAGAAATATGTCTGTTTATAGGATTAAAGAGAATGTATTTCACATAAAAAACGAAGCAACTTAAACAACTTACATGAAGAAATGTTTAATAAAGTAAACAAATAATATTAAGCTTTTTTTTTTTGTAAATTTTGATAACCTTTAGATCATAATTGCTCTTTATTTCATAATTTAACGGTTTCAATATTTTTAATTTTATAATTTCTGCATGCCATCTTACCAGATTTAAACTGATGATCTATAATCCGGAATCGCCGAAGTCCCTACGAGTCCGGATTAACGACTTTTGACTGTATATATATAGGCAACATAATTTCTAAAAGATATAGAATGATATATTACTGATAATAATGGATACTTAATGATTTAAATTTTGAAAATTCATAAATTATAAATATTTATTACTTTGAAATAACTAGTTTCACTCTTCCCCAATATGATGCCAGGGTATACGAACATTAGTTTAGTAATATTAATTGGTATTATAAGTGGAAATCATCATAATTAAAAATCATTTAATATGTCATAAGATAAAAGGACGTCTGCTGCAAGTATACATAAGAGAAAAATCTTGCATGTACGTATGCTAGGTTATTTAGGTACCATAGATAAAATTATTTTGTTTCTTGCATTTAATTTTTAAATTATTTTCTTAATACACTAAGAGAATCTGTTTTCAATGAAAATGGTTTTATATAGCGCCAAATTACAAAGCTTATAGAATGAAAATATTGATTATTATTGCACCAACAAATTTTAAGAAAAATGGTTATGAAGAAATAAGTGGTAAAAATGTTTATAAGCTTTAACACAGAAAAATAATTATCACAATAGGAAGCATTATTCTCAATGAACAATCTAAAACCAATTAGTATAAAACAGTCACAATTAATTAAAAATGCAACAGACTATATTTTTGGTAAATGGACAAAAGCTGTTCCAGTTTAGCTGCTAAGTTCAGTTTAAATGCAAGCCATACAAAGCGTACCATTTATTCAAGTGTATACTTTCCTATGCTGACATAATGAAACTATACTTGGGAAAATGAGCTAAAGTAAGATAGCTATATTATCTGACTAGAAAATGGAGACCCTAGAGATAGTAAAAAAAAAGGTGCTAAAGAGACTAGAAAATAATATATTATATATACTTAATGGCAGTTTGACTATATATTATATATACTTGAAGTCTACATGTACTATGCAATCAAACCTGCATAAACATATACTTTCTGAATGCCCAGACTTTCAAAGTAAAAGACCACTGCATTCCCATTTAGTGGACAATGCTTAATTGATACTATTCCACAAGTATCTATTGATGCGAGTTTCAGCACAACTGGAGGTATATAAAAATATTTTCTTGAGTGATTTGGTGGGGTCAGAAATGCAAGTAACAGACATGTATGACTTTCTTATACATATGTGACCGTTGATTTTTCTGTGCAATTTTTTTTTTTTTTTTTCATTTTCACAATGCTTTTTACTTTTTATCTATAAAACAAAGGAAATTTTAGAATGTTTTGGCTTATTACTTTGTGGTGTGTAGTGCTTACTGCAACAACTCTGAATTTGCTTTGATTTCTATGAAACTTCCTTAAAAATGAACTACAGAAAAGGGAGCATGGGAAATGGTACACAAAATTGAACCAACTTATTCATCTAATAATAGGGAAAATGCTTGTGACATCACATATTACATGTTAAGTTGGGAGTTTTGCTGGTTTTGAAGAGTAGCATATCAAAATCTGCCGATTCTGTTAGTCTTTGCAACCAAGCACCTTA